AGACGCGCTGCACTGCGTCATGTAAATCACGGCTTCCCGCGCTGTAAGTCACGCGGCGTGATCGCTGTGCAATGCTGCCCGGGCGGAGGCTGGACAGCCGGCCGGCCCTCCATCTTCTTTATCGCTTCGGGTGACAGGTGCAGGAGAGGCCCCTCCCCACAAGCGCAGGCCTTGGGACCGTGGCCCGGAGCACACCCAGCCTCCGGCCTTCATCTGCAGGCCCGGCAGGACCCCTCACCTCTGACCGGGGTGACTGCCAGCCGGGACAAGGGTCCTGGTCGGCCCAGGGCTGTGGGAAGGGGTACCAGGGAGACCTGCAGGCCACGGTGGGCCGGCCACACCCACTGAGCCCCTCCTGGCCACCATCACTTTGTCGTCCCCCCCCACCCAGCGACTCTCTTGGCTTTTCTGAACAGCTGGTGGGGAAGAGTGAGGGTCGAGCAGCCTGCCTTCCCGTTCCTCTCTCTGCTGTGCGGCCCCGGGCAAGTTGCTTTCCCTCTCTGGGCTGGTCTCCCTGGCTGCCCTTTGAGGGGCAGGGGCTACCAGGGTACATGGGAGGGACCCATCAGCAGTGAAGGGCTCTGAGTCCCAGGCTGAGGCGTGCTCCCCCAGGATCAATGTTGGGAGGGGCTGGAAGTGGGGGGCGGGGAGGCCTTCTCAGTCCTCAGGCTCCAACCAGAGAAGGTGGGTCTGCCTGGGCCAGCCCCAGTGTGCTGCCCAGTGGCCATCAGCCTCCTGTGGCCGTTCAAGCCTGATTTTCAGCGGAGTAACATGCTATAAAAGGAAACATTCAGGTTCTCGGTCACACCTGCCACATTCCCAACACTTCATGCTACATGTGGCCATGATGGCTACGGCACCCAGCACAGACCCAGAGCACTGATTTCCTCATCGTGGCAAGTTCCACTGGGCGGTGCTGCCCTGGGGCTGCGTGGGGGTGGGAGGCGCACGTACCCGATGGGCTGCCGTGGGCCAGCTCTGGCTCGCTCTGCACAGAGAAGCTGGACCACTGCAGGGGGCCAGGATTTTCCACAGGGGCATTTTGGCAGGGCCAGTCTCCACGGCTAAGAATTGCCCTTCACACTATGGAAGGTCTGGCCTCGGGGGCCCCCCACTCACGTCCCGCGCGAGGCATCAGCAGCACGCCCCATCGTGACCACCGGCCTCCGAATGCTGGGCGTGGACGGGCACCCAACGCTCTGCTCCCCTCCCTGCCGCAGCTGTCAAAGGATGTCTTGGTCCCGTCCCCCACCCACCCTTCCTATCGTGCAGATGGAGACACAGAGCCTCAGGGATCCGTGCAGGCTCCCACCTTTTCCACTGCAGCGAAAGACAAAGGTTCTCCTCGTTGCAGAACAGCCCCCCTTTCGTCCCCTCCTGCCCTGGTAACACACTGGAAACCACGAACGGTCTCCCTGGGACACACGGCGTTTGTCCTGTTTTCTCCCGCACACCCACCCGGCCTCACGCACACACGCCACACTTCCCTGCACTTTCTGGAGGCTCTGGATGGAAGGCAGCCCGCGGCGTCCCAGGAGTCCCAGGCCAGAAACTTCTGCTTTTGTGGAACATTCCTGACAGGGACGTGGGGAGCCTTCAAGGAAGATTCTAGACGAGACTCCAGGAGGCCCTTGCTCCCTGCTTTGGAAATTCAGAGGGGCTGGGCTGTGCCCCACCCTTGAAAACCCAGCTTAAGTGGGGTCTAGAAGCTGCCCTCAGCATACATTCTCATGAAAACCAGAGTTCTGGGCCCAAAATGGACCCAGGGCCATCACAATGGCCCCCGAGGTGGCCCCACTGTCCCCTCGTCCTTCCAGTCCTGGGTCTCCCCACTCCAGTCCCCTCTCCTTCCTCCGGTCTGACATACTCATCCAGTCCCAGCCAGGGAGCAGGCCCTGTGGTGGGTTCTGGGGCTGGATCCGGGGTGCCCTCGTTTACATTCCAGTAGGGAACACACACAGTCAACAAACACTTCGGAAGCATATCGTACGCAGATGCAGTGACCTGAGGGAGTGCGGGAGGGAGGGCGTTAGGGACATTGGGGGCAGACCTGTCCAGAAAGGAGAAAGTGACGTAAGTTAAAATCCCAAAGGAGGTGAGAAGGTGAGTCCCGTGGGTATCTGGGGAGGAACTTCTGGCCACAGAACAGCCGTGCAAAGGGCCTGAGGTGGGGAACCGGGAGGAGGCTGGTGTGGCTGAGCTTAGTGGGCAGGGGTGGCAGGAGACGTGGGTGCCAGAGAGGCTGCAGTGGGGAGCCAGTGGGCAGGGGAGGCCGGCGCAATAACCAGGGGTGAGGTGTGGCTGTGGGGCCGGAGGGGGGGAGCCAGGGGGGGCAGCACCGGGGTTGGGCTCCGGACGGACTCAGGGGAGAGTCACCGGAACATCCTCACAGACTGCCACATGGGGACTCCTCCCTGAGCTCAGCCCAAAGCCCAGAGGCTCACTCTGTCTCCCCAACCCCTATCCTGTGCCCCGGGGTGTCTGCCTCTCTTTGGGGACCTTTGCCCTCTGTCCTCCTCCCCAGTCAGGAATGAGAGCTTTGTCCTGGGCTTTGCTCCGGCTCCTTCCTCATCTGGTAGGGCCCAAGGTGGCAGCTGCTGAGGGATCCCTGGGTGCTGGCCAGTCGAAGGAGCAGTCATCCCCGGGCTGGTCGAAGCCCTGCCCCCTGGCCTGGCCTTCGGAGCCCTGGGTCAGAGAGGGGCTCCTGAGTTTGCCCGGCGAGCAGAGGGCTAGCACGTTTGCTGGGGAGCCTGGTGCTTTAGGCCTTTAATTTGGGGGGACGGGAACACAGGGAGAACAAAGCAGAGAGAGAGCAGGAGGAACGGAAAGCAGCTCGCGCTGGGGGCGTGGGGGCCTGCGGGGCTCAGCCCGGGGAAGCCTCCCTCCTGCCCCAGCGGGTGGAAGCAGCTGGCTGCCGCGCTGGGTTGATGGTGCCGGGCAGCGGTTGGTAGCGGCCCCGCTCTGCTGAGCCCATCATGGCCCCCAGCCTCGGCTCCCTCTTCGGGGCTCACAGGACACCCAGCATCTCCCACCCGTGGGCCCGTGTGAGGGCTCAGAGGCGTGGGGGCCTCACGGGGGTCCCAGGGCTCCCAGTGGTCTGCCGCTGAGATGGCCCAGCTACCCGCCTCTCCCCCAGTGACAGGGGTCAGATCATGCTGGGGGCCTCGGGCAAGCCCTCCGGCCTCTTGTGCGTCCTCTCCTGAAGCGCCCTCCCGGAGCGCCCTCTCAGTCTGGGCTAGACCGGGCTCCACTGGAGCAGGCCAGGGAGCCTGAGGACTCTGCCCCCTCCCCCACTCCCCTTTGCAAACGGGATGGCTGAGGCCCAGGTGAGGAAGGACACTGGCCTGGGGCACAGGACAGGTCAAGCCCACCCCAGGACCTTAGCACATGATGGGCTCACTGTCTACAATCATTTTGGGTATGTTTCTGGTGCCTCTCTTTCCCTAAAGCTTGCATTGTCCCCTCTGTCCACCATGCCGGAGGGAGGAGGGCCTGTGCCAACTCCCAGCACGTGAGGCACCCAGAGTCGGAGGGAGCGCTCCCCCTCTACCCCCCTTCCCGCCTGGGTATTCTCCCGCCAGGCCCTTGGTCCTCACTGGGGAGGCAGACATCATCCCTGCCCGTAGGGTCCCTCCCCACTCAGCCCTGAGACCAGAGGGGACATGCCGGCCTCTCTGATGCTCAGGCCGGGGCTGTGTGTGGGGATCTGGGACCTGAGCCGTCTCTGACAGGCCAGTGCAACCCGCCGGACAGGTGGGAACCAGCAAGACTGTCACGTAGGTGGGGGGCTTTCCACCTGCCCTGTGGAGGGGCACAGCCCACACGCCCTGGGCCCTGTGAGCTCCGGGACTGCTGAGGCTGGCACACAGGTGGAGTCCGAGGGCACAGGAGCCCCTGTCTCCTTGTCTTGACTCCCAGCCAAGCTCAGCCCTGTTTGCCCGGAATTCCTGACAGCAAGCGCCTTGCTACTCCTTGTCCAGCAGAACCTTCGAGAACAGGCAGGGCAACAGGTGTCTGGACTGGGAGTAGGAACGGGCCCTGGGGCACTCGGAGGTCCCGGCCATCTGGCCCATCCCTGAGTCCCCGAGGCAGCGAGCCTGGGGCCGCAGCCCAGTCTGGACCTTCCTGCCGCCAGTGGGGACGCAGCAGGAGAGCTCGGGGAGCTGCTCCGTGGCCTTGCCCACGTGTGACCAGTGCCCCTCCCGGAGAGATCAGGGTTATTTCTCCCCAGCGGAGAAGCGAACACGCCAGCTGCGAGGGCGCCTGTCTCAAGCGCAGCCCCGAGGCAGGGGTGGGATCGGGACCTGGGTCTGGTCCCCGCAACCTCAGCCTTCCCCTGCCGCTCCCAGGTCGGGCAGTGTTGGGGGGAGACACGTACACCGGCCCAGTCCAGGGCTCTGTGGCCAAAGCGCAGGGCCTGGGGAAGCAGGCCAGGCCATCAGGAAAGCTGTCTTCCCTCCTCTCCATTTCCGGCTCCTCGGGGTCCACTCGGCTTCCCCAGGACCTCTCGGGCAGGAGCTGGGCCCACCCGGGGAGCTGCAAGTGCTCGTTTGCCTGAAGCGTGTCAAAGCCAGAGGCCCGAGCTCCCTGGCCTGTGGTCTGCTGAGGGGCAAAAAACTTTCCGAAGGCCATCTGAAACCCAAACGTCTTCCCACGACTTCGACTTTATTAGCCTGACCGGTTCCAGGGGTGGGAGCCTCTGAAATCAGCCAGGGCCTGCCCACCCCCCAGTCCTCTGGCTGCTTCTGCTGTGTGTCCGCAGGAATCCCGTCCTCCCCGTCCCCACGCATCTGTCGCCTTCTGTTCCCCAGAGGGTCAGGCTTGCCTGGGCAGGGCCACACAGCGCAGCTTTGCTGCGGCTGCCTGGTGGCCATCGTTGTCCTGGGGGTGTGATCCGGGAGGCAGGGGGGACAAGGCAGAGCAGGAGGGACCCAGGACCCAGGGATGGAAGGCAGGGAGGAGGGTCATGCCAGTAGATGTTTGTGAGTTCTGAAAGCCCAGAGAAGGACTGAGGGGTCACTTAAGACCCTGTACGAGGTCCTCCCCCAGGACCACGGGACAAGAAAGTCAAGGACAGGAACCGCATCGCAGTCACAAGGACGGAGCAGGTCTCAGCCTCCCGCTCGGCAGAGGCTCCGCCCGTGCGGACATCAGTAGATCCCCTTCACCCTCTTGTTGTCGGGGTCGAAGGGGGACTTGAGGTGAGCCCGGGCAGGGCAGGTCGCCCCCATCCGCTCCACAGCATACTCCCCGCTCTTCACAAAGTCCAGCGAGACCTAATGCAGGAGAGGAGGGGTGGAGGCCTTCGTACCTGCTGGGTGCGGGGCTCATACCCACCTGAGGCAAACGCCTCTCTGTGCCAAGGGCCCCCCTCCAGACCGAGGGTCCGTCCTGAGCAGGTAAGGCCCCGAGTGGGACTTGACCACCTCCTGCCCCAGAAGCCGCAGACCCCCGGGAATCTGGGCAACAGGAGACAGCCCGGTGTGCCCGGGCCCTGGGCACGCTGGCCTCGCTCAGGGGTCCTGTTCTCAGCACAGAGACGACACCCAGGGCCCAGCCACGGACAGGGCATCTGGGCCGTGCTCTGAGACGTAGAGGACTCCTCTCCCAGCCATGCAGGCAGGCAGCCCAGGGCCCAGGACCCCCAGTGGCCCAGGGTGGGAGCCGCTGCGTCCCACCCCCTCCCGAGGCCCAGCTAGTCCCTTGCACCCCTGCCTGGGCCGTCTGACTCACACCCCGCCTCCTCCTCGCTGACCCTCTAGAGTCTCTGTTGGGGGTTGGGGGGGGAGCCGCAGCCCAGAGTTCTCCAAGAACGGCCACGGCTCAGGCGGGAAAGCTCAGCCCCAGACGGACAGGCTTCCGGCCCCGCAGCCAGAGCCTTCCAGCGCCTCCGTGTCCCAGCGGTCGCAGGGCTCGCATGGTGCTCCAGCGATGCAAGCCGCTACGTCCATAAGGGTGTCGTGACGGTGAGCTCCTCCCCCTGCTCTCTCGAGCCACATGGCCCAGCCCTGTGGTGTGACCCTCTAGGGATCCCCTTGGGACCAGCTGGTCTGGCAAGAGCTTCCAGAACCCCCTTGGGCTCTGACCCCTCCCGGCCGTCAGTGGGGCCCTTCTCCACCCCTGCTCCCCCGCCAGCGTGGAGGGAAGAACGGGATCACGTGGCAAACTGTGCCCATGCTTGCACACGAGTCTGTGTGTGCACACGTGTGCACACGTTCATGTGCACAGATGCACGTGTCCCCCATGCCTAGAGTGCCTCTGGGATGAGGGCAGAGAGGACAGGAAGGGGGTCCTGGGAGGACGGTCAGGTGTCCAGTGTCCACCCCAGGCTGTTGGTGCAGAGGGTGCCAGCCCTGGGCTGAGCCTCTGACCCAGAGAAGCCTGGAGCTCCCAAAGTCAGATTCTTTCAGACAGAAAACACAGAAACAGCCCTGACCCGGCCCGGAGAACCCCCCAATCCACACCCCTCCCCCAGCTTGATGCAGGGGTACATGCATCCCAGGGGTGTCTGGTGAGGAACCCGGCTTCTCTTGGGGGTGAGGGGCTCGACTCACCGGCCCCCCGCTGGGGTCCCGGATGTAGCCGTAAGCGATGGTCTTGTCAATGGCGAACCCAAAGTCAGCCCTCCGGATGTGGCCCACCACTTGGCCATTTCTCCAGATGGCCTCCAGGCCGAACATGGGCACCTTTCTGGAAGAAGCAAGACACAAGGCTGGGGCCCCAGAGCCCCCAGAGGGGGGAACTATGTGGCCCGGAGCCAACCCAGCGCCCCCAGCATGCCTGTGCCTGGGCTCCCGACCACGCGGAGAAGACCGCAGCCGGGCTCTGACTGCTGTGTCTACAGACAGGCCGTGGGTATTTGGGAAAGGCCCACCTCTCCACTGATTTTCACTGACTTCTGAGCAATTTAAAACCTTATGCCCCCAAGGCTTGCTGTCCTCTGCCTGGCGCTCTTTTCATAGTACGACGCATCATCTAGCAAATGTCCTTTTCTTTAGTGCACGTAAGGAATGAGCGCTGACCACACATTTTTGGGAATTCAGAACAGAAATCACAGAGATGATCCCGCAATCACAGCTGCACCAGCGCCCGGAAGTCACCGGCCAGTCTGGGCGCCTCGTTGGTGATGTCGGCCGAGAGCCGGACTGTGCCTGGGGCCGTGTCAGGGGAGCCAGGTTGGGACCCGATGCTGACGTGGCTGTGGGTCCGCGCAAGCAGGGTCCAGTGACCTCTGAGACTGTCTGAGGGAAAAGGTTGGGACTGGCGGGGGGTCTGTGGCACATCCCGACTCTCTCATCCCACCCAGTCCTGCAGAGCACGTGTCGTTGGCCGATGAAGAGACAGGCCCAGGGTCCCCGCGTGGCTCAGGGCCCAGAGCAGAGGGGCAGCTCCCCACAACTCCTGACCATGTCCTTCGTCAAGACCAGACCTCTCTGGGCGCAGCTCTGGGTGGATCTTACGGCAGAGAACACCCGGGCAGGCGAGCCGGGCTGTGGCAGGGGCCGTTCCAGAAGCTCCGAGCTCCGGGCGTCAGGCTGCAGGCACTTTCCGGAGGCCAGCGGGCGGAGGGGCTCCGCGGATCCCAGCCCCAGCTCCTCCCCTCACCGGAGACCCGGGTGGTGGACAAGCAGCCTGACGAGGGCCCAGGTGACGGGAGCCCGGGAGAAGCAGCCGGACAATGACAAGCCACAGCTCCGCTCCCTCTCTGCCCCCCACCCCGCTTGAAGCTCTTGACACCTCTTTGGTCGGCTCCAGAAGTCCGGGAGAAGCGGCTCCACCTGGGGCCTCCTGTCAGCAGCAAATCAACCAAGCCCGGCCGCCAGAGACCGTTGCTACCCAGGTTCCCTTGGCGCCGTGGCGGGGCCGACACCAGCCTGGTGCTGTCATTTGAGTCGCCGAGCCCAAGCCCGAGCGACAGCACGGGCCCAGCTCCCAGACAGAGCAGAGTGACCTGCTCAAAGCCACCCCTGGGTGGAGGGGGGCTGTGGGTCCCCACGGCGTGGGCTCTCCATCCTGGGCCAAGTGACCCTGTCCCCTGGCACCCAAGGTCTCCGTCTGGAAGTGGGGAGGGTCGGTTCACCCCAGCCTCTCCCCCAGCCCCACCCACCACGTCCCGGGCAGTGGGAGGATGTAACCAGAACATTGCCGGAGGTCACCGCGCAGTAACTGGGACTCTGGGACCTCGGCCTGGATCCACACCCACGGAGGTGGCTCTGTGGCCACCTTTCTCTTTCCAAAACCCTGTCTGAGGAGGGTGTGCCCCGCCATGTCCCCTGGACGCGGGACAGCAGCTACTCACTCATCCACCGTCAGGCACAGCAGGCGTCGGCGGAGGCCCTCAGCCCGCTGCTGCTCCAGGGCCGCCCGCCCCAGGAAGGGCACGGCCGACTTGAGCTTGCAGGTGAAGGCCAAGCCTGCCTCCAGGGGACTGTCGTCGGGGCGCAGGTCTGCGTGCCAGTGCCGGTAGCCTGTGCGGGGGAGGAGAGCCCGGGGTCAGTGCCCTGCAGGGGTGGGGGATGGGCTCCTCCGAAGGCCCCAGGGTTGGGAGGAGGCATCTTCACCTGCACAAGGTGCCCTGGACGAGCCCTCAGCCTCTGCACTGTCAGCTGAGACGCTGGGGAGGGACCCGGGATCTGGGGAGCAGATTTCCCAGGGACACCCAGGCACTGATGCCCAACCCAGCTGTGGCCCCGTCCCCACATGCCCGGGCAAGCACGTCTCCCGCTCGCCCTCCAAGTACAGGTGTCAGGGACCCCAGCACCATCCCAGGCCCTGCGTGGGAGACTGCGTTCACGGGCAGCGCAGGAAGGGTGCAGGGGCGGGGGCGGCAGGCTGGGGAAGCAGGCATAAGTGGGAAGCAGGGCAGGAAAGAAGTGTGGGGGGCGACAGTCCCGTGCCTGCAGCATGGCTCTGGGCGGCCCACCGGCACCGCGCAACCCTTGCACACACCTTTCTCGATGCTCAGGGAGTCAATGGCCCGGTACCCGGCGTTGACGAGGCCATGCTTGGCACCCGTGGTCATCACAGCCTGGTACACGGGCACGCAGGCTGGCCTGGGCACATGCAACTCCCAGCCCAGCTCCCCGACGAAGGAGAGCCTCATGGCCCGCACCTGGGGGGACAGGGCACAGCTCAGACGACCCAGCTCAGGGCCCAGCTGCCACATACTGGTAGCCGGTCCTTACTGCCACCACTCTCGTTAGCTGGCCCTGGGCGGAGGCTGTCCTGCTCCCGGGCATGGGCTCTCCAAGGACAGGGCTCCAGGCTCCGGCAACCTTTAAGGGGAAGAAGGGTGTCAATGGAGAAAGCGGACACATGGTTCTCAGGCCTCAACTCTTCTCAGTGGCTGTGCAAGTGTCCTGGGGAGGCCGTACCAAATGGCCAGAGTGTGCTGTCTCCCAGTTCTGGCCGCTCGAAGCCCCACATCAGGGGGTCAGCAAGCTGTACTCCCTCCAGCAGCTGTGGGAGAGGGTCCTTCCTGCCCCTTCCAGCTTCTGGGGGCCTCAGGGGCGTGTGGTCACTGTCCTCCATTCTCTGCACCACAGGCCTTCTCCTCATGTCCGCATCTCCTCTACTTTCATCTCTGATCTGGACACTTGTCACTGGAGTCAGGACCTACCCCGACCCTCGGTGATCCCATCGCAAGATTCTGACGTCAATCCCATCGGCAAAGCCGGCAAGTTCCAGCAAAGGCCGCACTCGCAGGGGCTGGGCAGGGCTCCAGACGCAGACATCACCACCATGACCCGGCCGAGTGCCCCAGACTCCCTCTGGCCTCACTCTTCTCCCCTGTAAATGGGGTCAGGAGCCAGGCTTTGTCGGTTTTAAGAAGCTCCGAGGTGTGTTGGCGAGCCAGCCACTGGGAGGTGGGTGGTACAGCTCGCGGCTCACCGAGGCCATACCCCGAGGTTTCAGAGGCATCAAGAGGGGAAGCAGCCCGGTGCCAAGTTGTCCCTGTAAATGCTCCCCGGCCTAGTCAGCGTCGGCCAGAGGCTGGGCTCTGACCAAAGACCCAGCCTCTGTCCCCGGGACACAGTCTTCGAAGGACCCAGCCAGAAGCACAAGCAGGTGCTCCTCAGCTTGTGGCAACCAGGCCAAGGGCGGGCTAGGGCTGGGAAGGAAGGCCCCTGCCCAGGACAGCCCTAGCCACAAGGTTAGCAGAATCTGTGGTGCAGACGGGCAGGCCTTGAGGGAGAGCTGGGGCCAGGGGCACCGAGCAGGAGCGGGCATGTCAGGAGGGCTGGACAGAGAGGCCTGCAGTGGGGTTGGAAAGACCTTATCGCCAGGCTGCAGACACGGTGAGAGCTGGGCCCCAGGGGTCTGCAAAGGACCGCCGACCCCCACCCGCACAGAGATGACGGCGCTATTTACACGGTGTCCCTGGGGCAAGTTCTGCATGCACACTCCATCACGGCGCCCTTCTCTGCCCCCCACGGTGGCGGAGACCAATGTGAACAACATCCAGGGATGACGTGAAAACAGGGCACCGTGCCTGGCCTGAGCACACGCATCTGTGCTGGAGCAGCTGGTCTCCGGGCACGGCCGGCCAGCACACCTGGACGTCAGGCTTGCACCAGCATGGAGGCCACTACCAGCACAGGGCACGACTCCCTGCCCAATGGCTGGTGCCCAGGGACTTGTCTCCACTCAGTCGGTTTGCTGGCATGTCATCTACACACCCAGCGACAGGTGTCTGCTTCCTGGCCTTCCCAGGTGAGTTCTTGAGCCCAGAGTGTCCCCACCGGTGAGGTCAGCCCCAGGACTATCCTTGAAACAAAAGGGACATGGAGAGGACAGGGAAGCACAGGTCTCATGGGAGATGGAGGAGCTTATCCCATCACTGCCCTGAGCCTAAGTCCCGCACAGCTCCGGCCAGATCTTGTCTACACAGGAGGGGGCAGAGGCCACTCTCCCCAACACAGACCCGGCTCCTTATAAATCTGACACTTTAATCATCTTGCTGCCTCGGGGCTGGATTCTGAAAGCTTTTGAAAGAGTGAACATTTGCTCTGAGTTGCCATTTCCCCAGGCCTCTCAAAAAAACTCAAAATTGACACAGAAAATGTACTGTTGACATTTCCCTGCTTCCCTAGTGCAAGCCGTGGGCCCCTGACAAAGATTGCCTTGTCAACGGGGTTCTAATTTTAGACAGCCCACGGAGGAGCTGGGGGCTCAAAGCCAATCTCATTTTGAAACAGGAGAAATCATTTTTAAAGCTCACCCATTAATGGCCCAGGATTGCAGGTTCATGTCAGACACACATGCTCCCAGTTAAGTGAGAGGGTCAGCACTGGGGCTCAGCTTGAATCCACCGGTGGGGAGGGATAGAGCCATCCCGGGCTCTTCCACACCTCCCAGGAGCCCCATGAGGCCAGGAGCTGGCTGGCCTGGCTCTGCATGGCACCCCTGTGCTTGGGTCCAGCACACAGTAGGTGCTAAAAAAAATACTTCCTGAATGACGGAGGAATAGAGGGGCAGACGGACCTCTGCTTCTGGCAAAGCGAGGGAAAGAGTCTGGGGGAATTCCAGGTGCCTTTCTACATTCACAAAATTACTCGTCTCAAGACATCCTGCATATGTCTCCACTAAAGCCAGTGGAGTTGGGGGAGTCCTCTTTTCTTCTGAGCAGGGACATGTAATAAAGGGGGAAAGCTGAGAATGAGGATATCTGGAACATCAGCTCTGGGTCAGCCAGACCCATGTGGGTCAACCTCTCCCCACCTCCGTGCCCCCATCTGATAGATGGATGAGGCCGATGCTTGAGATCATTGAGTTCATGGGAAGCAGGTGCCTGATACACAGTCATCTGCCAGTAAAGATTGGGTTGGATTGACTTTAAAAGCAAGCCCCAAACCGAGGCAAACCCCCTTGCAAAATAGAGCGTCTCTCTCTCATAGTAACCACAGGCCCTGGCTGGAGTCACAAAATCATGGACGATCATGAGGAAGGGCCTTAAAGCAGGTTTTATTTAAACCATTTTCTCACCCCAAAGATCCCCCAAAGTACTGTGGGAATTAATAAGCACATCCAACCAGGCTGCCTGCTACAAGTCAACACACAAAAATCAATGGCATTTTTCTACCTTAACAATGAACAATCCAAAAAGGAAATTTTTTCAAAATTCCATTTATAATAGCATCAAAAAGAATAAAATACTTAAGAATACACCTAGCTATGGAAGTGAAAGACTGCTATACTGAAGACTACAAAAATTTGCTGAAAGAAATGAAAGCCGATACACGTAAATGGAAAGGCATCCCATGTTCATGGAATGGAAAACAACATCATTAAGATACCAATGCTACCCAAAGTGATGTACAGATTCAACGTATCCCTATCAAAATTCCAGGGGTACTTCTTGCAGAAATAGAAAAATCCATCCTAGCATTCACAGGGGATCTCAAGGGACCTCAAATAGCCAGATTAATCTTGAAGAGGAGTAAGGCTGTGGGACTCTCAGTCCCTGATTTCGTAACTTACTGCAAAGATCCCATGATCAAAACAGTGTGGTCCAGGCATAAAAGCAGACAAATAAACCAGTGGAATAGGAAAGAGAGCCCAGAAGTAAACCTTTGTGTACATGGTCACGTGATCCTCTGCAAGGCTGCTGGGCCCACTCAACGGGAGAAGAGACAGTCTCTTCAACAAACGGTGTTGGGAAAACTGCATCTCCATATGCAAAAGAATGAAACTGGGCCCTATCTTGCACCATATACAAATTTTAACTCGAAATGGATTAAAGACTCAAGTGTAAGTCCTAAAACTATAAAACTCCCAGGAGAAGCCAGGGGGAAGCTTCGTGACATCGGACTTCTTGGATATGACATGAAAGGCACAGGCAACAAAAAGCAAAATTAGTCCCATGGGACCACATCTGTGCATCAAAGGAATAGCCAACAGTGAAAAGACAACCTACAGAGTGGGAGAAAATACTTATCATAGCCGAAAAGGGGTTAATATCAAGAATACATAAAGAACTCCTACAACTCAACACCAACAAATCAAATGATCTGGCTAAGAAATGAGGAAAGGGCTTGAATTGATGTTTCTCCAAAGATGATATACAGATGACTAATAAGTATAATGAAAGCCTGGTCATTACCACTAATCATTAGAGAAACGCAAACCAAACCCACAAGGAGATATGCCCATTAGGACAACTACTGTAAAAAAATAAAAACAAAACAAAACAACAACAAACAAAAATAGAAAGTAACCAGTGTTAGCAGGGATGTGGATAAATCAGGCCCTACTGATGCAACTGCTAGGGAAAACGGGGTGGAGATTCCTCAAAAAAAAAAAAAAAGAAAGAAAAAGAAAGAAAGAAAGAAAGAAGGAAAAATAGAATGAGCACGTGTCTAGCAATTCTACCTCTGGGTAGATGCCCCAAAGGATTGAAAGCAAGATCTGGAATGGATATTTGCCCACCTGTGTTCCCTGCAGCATTCCTCACAATGGCTAAGAGATGGAAGCCACCCAAGTAGCCACCGACAGAGGCCTAGAGGGACAAAATGGGCCTTATCCATACAACGGAGTATTATTCAACTATTACAAGGAAGGAGATTCCGACACCTGCCACAGCATGGATAAACCTTGCAGACATGATGTTGAGTGAAATAAGCCAGACACAGAGACAAATCCTAATCCAAATTCCACTTCCATGGAATTAAATGAGTCAAAGTCATAGAGACAGAAAGTAGACGGCTGGTTCCCAGGAGCTGGGGTAAGGGGGGCTGGGAGTTGTTGGTTAACGAGTATCGAGTTTCTGTTCTGCAAGATGAAAACGTCCCGGAATCCGTTTGCACGACAACATGAACACAGTTAACATGACCGGACTGTATACTTAAAAAAGGTTAAGATGGTAAAAACAGAAGACCCTTTCCTCCGTGGGTGGGCACCTAAAGCCCAGAGGGACTGGGTGATTTGCACTTTCTTGATGTTTGGGACACCAGGAGCAAGGGAGAGGCCGCAGACGATGCTGACACAAGGAGGTGAGGGGCCAGACTCGTACAGAAGCAGGAGGCACCGTGCTGGCCGAGAGTGGGGGCCTGGGTTTGAATCTGAGTCCCCAGGGTTGCACCCAGTGACTGACCTCCCTCTGAGTCTCTTCTG